ACGCGAGATACGGCTGATACTTGCGCATTAGTTTCTTGTTATGGATCAGTATCAACAGTCCTGCCAGTAACGTTACTATATTATCAATGCTACGTTAGTTATAGCCTGATATATGATAGCTAACTTCACAATGTTGTGATGTGACGTTAGCTAACATTCTGTAGCTAACGCCGGTCACTCACCAGGATAGCTGCCCAGTTCTCCACTGGTTCTCCTCACACCACAGCTCAATTTCTCTCCGATGGCCGTTATTTCTTCTAATCCTTGGCTGCTCCTGGTCTCTTGGACGCCTAGCAGGCTCCTAATTATAAGGTTGTGGTCCGTCATATGCATTCGAATATTCATGTTCAACTTCTTCTGTGTCTTCTGTGTCGAAACTAGCATTGGGATCCATGTTTATTAATACGTTACACCGGCCTCTCTCCCCCTTGTGTCCCCCGTGTTACGTCACACGCGGGAGGTCACGTGCCGAGGCTTTTTTATGCGGAAGTGAACATTTCTTAAAAAAACGACGCCAGATGTCACTGTAGTGTATATTTCTGTATATTTTTTTGAAAATCTAGTATTTTCATCATTTTCCTACACATTTATTCACAGGTGTCTTTAACCTGGAAGTTGCTCTTTAAATGATTTTCTATCATCATCAATGCAAAAATAGATCTCATTAAAATAACATACACGGCCTATTTCATATTTTCGTCTATGGTAATTCAGTCTAAGGCTCATGACTCCCCTCTCTGCCAAGTTCATTTAAAGAACTATATTGTTTGGCTGGACTCCAAATAGCATGTTGATCTGTCATAACATTGTTTCAGTGTTGATCACACAGATCTAATACACTCTCATCTGAAGTGTGAACATTAGTGTGTGGATGAACACTGTCGCTGGAGGATGCTTGACTTGGACTCATCTCCCACACCTCTCATCCTTTAAATCCATCCACTCTTTAAGATGGTCCTGAGCAAATTGCCATCATCTGTTTAATTGTAATATGTGTTGTCCTTGAACTGAGCATCTGTTGGCATGCAGCACATTTGAAATTGTTCCAGCTCTTGGAGCTGGATGTGCCATGACTGTTAGCTTCTTAGCTTCTACTTCTTAAATAGAAACTTGCAATGCTTACAACAATGTGTTCTCTACTGACAGCCTCATAGTTTATAAAGAACTCGTTCATTGTTAGCCATGCTGAGTGAACCACTTTTATTCACACTAAAATGTCTCAACAGTTATTGAATGGATTTCCATGACATTTGGTGCTCAGAGGATAAGTCTTCAGGACTCTTTTCTCTAGCCACACCATGAGGTTCACTTGAGTCCAAAATGTCAAACTTCTTTCCAATTTGCTGGTGATATGTTGACACTTTGTAAAATGACAGTTCTGAGTCAAAAATACTTCCAAACTTACTAAAAGTCCTTCGAAAGAGGTTTTATTCTTTTTTAACATTGACAAATGTCATATTTCATTAAAAGAACATAAGGTGGGAAGTTCAATTATTATAAACATATAAGAAAAGTTGATTATTGTATCCGTGCATAATATAGTGTACAAGGGAGAGACACGTTAACAGTTCATGATGGAACAAAGGTGTGCACAACTGTTCTGCTAGAGAATCAGTTTGACATGATACAATAATCCCAAATTCACTCATTTAGATTTCTTTGATTCATTCCTGCCGTTTGAGATCAGAAGAAACATATTTTGCGCTCTATTACATTGTAATAAAAACTGGCCTGTTGAATTGCCGAATGAGAGATTTCAGTATTGGCTACAGGCTGATCGGCTACATCGCAACTACCTTTAGAAGTTCCATTTGGTTTCAGCATCATTTCATTCACCCGCTGCATTAAACAGAGTCAAATGATAAGGAAACCATAAGAATCCTGTTACTTCTTGACTATGTTATCAATGTATTTTGGTTCACGGTTCATGCAGAATGTTAACTCTGCGCCGTTTTGTATCCGTGGAAATGTAGTTGTCCATATGACAGAAACATCTAGGTAGTTAAGTCATGTTGCCGTTTGTAATGCCTCAGTCAGCACAGACACACAGGACCATTAAATACAATAATTTTTTCTTTACTCTCTTTCTGTATTTACACATGACCATTTTACAGCAATATTACTTTAGATTTATGGCATATAACCATCTTTTGCCTATCAAAAATATACAAAAATAAAATCGTATGTCCTCTTCCTATATCACAACTGTCATCAGTCCATTTCTGTTGTTGCGTGTTAGGAAGAGAAAGGAGGTGATTTCCTGTTTCGCTTCGCTCGACGAGTGGCCGGAAATCGGATGAACTCAAAGTGTTTGCTTTGGTCTGTGTTTGGGAAGGGGGGCGGGCCCGTGTGGAGCCTCTTGATGAAATGGACCTCCCTCTGGTTTTCCCTCGTCCTGGACGCTTTGATGGGCCTCCCTTTCCTGGTAAAAGCCACATACCAGCCGTCATACTTGGCATTCTGGAACGCCGTGTAATTGTTCTCCAGTACGATCTCTGTGAAGATACAGTCCCTGCTCCGGCCGTTGGGCTGGGTGAGAACACAGAAAAGGTTCTTGTGTTAAAACTAGACGGACAGACTGCCTGACACACAGACAGTAGCACGCATTCACATTAATTCATATAAACATTAAACAAAAAACTGCTAAATAGCACAGCTATGTTAAAACCTTCTTGAAGTGAGACGATATACATTTTGAAAAAGAGAAAATAACAAATTGTTTCTATTGCAAATAAGAAGGTGCTGTTATGAGGAATTAATCAGTCCCTTGCTCGGTTTGAATGCGCTCAGGGGTTTTGGTGTTATAGTCCAACTTGGTCTTGTATGGCAATCGTTAACGTTGGCTACATTTTATTCATTTAGCTGCCATTTTCATCCATAGTGACTTACACTAAATGCATTCTAAATGCATTTACTAGTGCTGCATATAGAAAATATTAACTAGGCCTACATGTTTTATCTTTGACCATGGATAAACAATAAAATAAGGTAACCATGAATAACTTCATTGCAGACTCTTTTGTCATGAAATCTTTGTGTATTGTAGTTGTTTTCAGGTCTGTGATCAACAGGTATAACCTGAATCTAAATGGCTCCCGCAGACAGAGCCACACATTGCAGGACTCATCACTTCTTATTGCCCTGAAGTACTAAAAAAAGAAATGTTCTTCTGAAAAAGAATTGTTTTTTTAAATCAACATATAACAATTGTATCAGGTTGGAAGAGTCGGGAGCTGTTGGGCAGCGTCTTTCTGTTTTTTCATTATCTCTGAGCAGACATTACAGCAGACACGGGTTTTCTGCACTCCTGATCATTTACACTATGGATTGTCAGCCAGCTGTGTGAATCCATCTTTTCCATTTCCATGAAGGAAGTGGAGAGTTGACTTATGACCAAACACACAGGCAGTGCATGATGGGAGGGTACTTTCCCTTCATCGGCGTCAGACGTGGCCAATAAGACTGAGCAACAGTCGCTCAGTGGTCCGAGGGTCCTGTTTCCAGCACATCATGTCCTTAGCTGACTGAGACTACATGACAGGGGGGAGCTTTAGGAGCCACAGTGTGTCTAGTGGAGGCCGAGCACACTGTAAGCCCTCTAAAAAGACAAGGGTCCTTTTTTTAAATATTCTAAAAATACATATATATTTAGTAAATAGTGACATAAAAAAAGAAATTGCCCAAAGATTGCATGATTAAAGTCCTGTCCTGAATTTGGCTGCTTAATAATAAAGTTTAAATCAATTTCAACATCTGCAGCCAATGGTTTCCATTCAAATAAATATATAATAAAAGTATATTGTACCTTTCCAACAAGTTTGCCCTTCCGGTTCATGCAGAGGTAGAGCCCACTTTCTGCACCTCTGATTCTCACTCGACTGCCAAAGGTGTCCGTCTCCACAAAGAGGCGAGCTGCCAGAAAAAGAGAAAGTCAGTCAGCTGAAGGAACACACAATAAAACAGTAACAACATCTTTGTCTTGTTTTTACAAAGCATCAAACATGCTGCTCTCTTGATGAAATGCAAATCTTTTTTAAACCAAATCTATTTTTGTTGACTGTGTTGTTTAAATGTAAAACACTGCATTTGTCAGATATAATTAAAAAAACATAGAGTTATTATTGTTGTTATCTTTGTCAGTTTAGTCATCACCTGTTAATATAAGAATATACTTCTATTTTATAGTTATATTGGTATTAGCATCTTTGCTGAGCTAAACTACAGTCTGATAGTATAAAGTGAAGACACTAGCCCAGGGAAGACTCCTAAACAAACGTTATCACTGAACAATAAAGAGCTGTGTTGCTCGCAGAATATAAATGCTCAATTGTATTTGTCCTGCAGTCAGTTAAAGCCATTGGGCATTACAACAGCCTTGTGTATTGGTGCTGTAGAGACAAAGGACTTGTCCTAATCAACCGCTAATTCGCCAGACGAGGCTTCATGGATGCAGCAGGGAGGCTTAATTAACATATAGGCCTGAAACAGCTCACAGAGGGAGGGACAAGCCTTCCATGCTGTCAGGGTTCCATGGAAGAACTTCACTCAATTCTGCCCTAAAAAATGTTTCCAATTTACTGCAGGTAAATCCTTGTTTGCCTCGTGTTATTATTTGTGCCAAAACACATCAGCCATAAATTACAATCGGTTCACCTAAAGATTTGAGATGCTGACAGATCGAGATTTATTTACCTGTTGGCAGGCAGATACCCAATTAAAACATGAGATGTAAACTCCAAGGCATTGGGCATGTCACAAAGAAAAGCACATTTGAACTGGGTATAGCATTACAAAAATAAAACGAAATGTTCCAAATGTTGTTTTGCAAAAAGAGCCAGGCTGTGTCATTACCTGAGGAAGATACAGAGGCTGGACCTCAAACCCTTCTTTGGTCTCAAATTCTACTAAAGAAGTGACTCAGACTGCTACGTACTACGGTCAGTGGTGTAAAGTAACTAAGTACATTTAATCAAGTAGCCTACATACTGAAGTACAATTTTCAGGTACTTATCCTTTACTTACATTTTTTTATGTTTTGCTACTTTTTACTTCTACTCCACTACAGTTCAGAGGTACATTGTGTACTTTTACTCCACTATGTTTATTTAATACCTTTAGTTACTTCACAGATGTGGATGAATGATTTGAAATATAATCAAGTGTTGAATCAGCTAGTTCCCCCGAGAGTAAATCCACAAGCTACCCTGCAGTACAAAGTCATTCAAACTAGCTGCACCTTTACCAACTTTGAGAACACTTTGATGATCAATCATTATAAAACATATCATATATTATTCTGAAATGGACCATTCTGCACAATCACTACTTTTACTGTCGCTACGTTCACTACATTTTGATGCTAACTGTTGTACTTTTACTTGAGGAACATTTTAAATGCAGGACTTTTACTGTAACAGAGTATTGTACATCATTGGGCGGATCTGCAGGGGCGATAAGCAGACCCCCAGCAGCAATAGGGGCCCCTTACCGAACAGGTTCCCGTCCTCTGCGGTGGCGCTCACCCTGCGGCCCGGGATCTGCACGTGCTTCCCGCTGGTGCGGCTGTAGAGCTGGTAGACCCGGACCTGCCTGCGGCTCAGCTGGTCCGTCACTGCGCCCTGCGTCCTCACATACTGCTTAAAATTAGGAGACGGGTGATTCTCCCCCTTTTTATGCAAAGGGAAAAATGAAATACATAATTTTTTTCTTCCTAATCTTAGATAAAGAAAATGATAACTTATTTTATAACCAACATATAGAGTTTCCCAGATAGCCTAAATACACATAGGCTACAGTTAGTAATATAGTTTATATTCAGATTCATCTGCGACATTCACACGTGAGTTGTTATTAACGACGTTTAACTGTTAATCAATCATTTCTAATATTACAATGTTAACTTTTCTCGAGCAAAGTTTTCAGTTCGCTTACCTGAGCATGGCACCACAGCACGAACAAATGGAAGGAGCTGCAGAACAATAAGTGAAGATTATTAGGCTTGTCCATAAAGAAGTCATAACAACATGATATCAGTGTGCAGTCTCTTACATGTAAACACAGCGCTGGTTTATTCCATACATTCTCTCTTTATTTCATCCGACCCAGAGAGGGAGTCTTCAGGTCGAGAAATCCCGGGAGGATGCCGTAAATAAATCAAACGCTCCTGACCTGTCCATCCAGGTCTTATTTCTCCTCAGATTGATCATAAACCTGAGCCAGCTGACTGGAGGCTGCAGAGCTCTTCAGAAGACCCGCAGGAGGAGCACATAGATCCATTCTGAGAGCATGCTGACATCCCTCTGTCTCTCAGGCTGCTCACTGGTTAATGTGGAGAGGCAAAGTCCCTCCCTGAAGTGTCCCTGCTGTGGGTGGGCACAGCAACAGGACCCTAATGGTGATTTAATAGGGAGACGCAGATCTGCAGCAATAACAAATATTAGCCAAAAAAAAGTTTAATTCGTCATCTTAGTCCTTATAAAGAATAACGAAACTAAGACCTGGAGAGTTTTAGCTCAAGTTGTTTCAAAACCTTAGTCTCTAATGTAGATAATTACTGCAGCATTGTATTTAAAAGTAAGGAGCCTAATGGCATCTTATGGGTGTGTCAATTACGTGTTAAAGAGACCACCCCCACCCCTCCCCTTATATCTCGTTAACTGGTCACACTTCCAGATCATGTTAAGGGAGGCCAAAACAAATCATGTAAAGGTTTCATCTTTACATCAATTAATCAACATCCAAGATGAGCAGGATACTGTCTTCCCCTTCCCTCAATCCACATTCAGAGAAGACAGGAGACAAGCAAGGCGAAGAGAGAGGAAGAGAAGACATGCACAGTTGTATATTCATAATATCAGCATCAGATTTCCTTTATTACTCCTGCAGAGGGGACATTTACAAAGTTACAGCAAAAATGACATGAGAGAAAAAAGGCAAGGAATAATAAAGTAACAGCATATTAAAAATAGGAAAAAACACACTTTTGAAAAATAAATGAATAATGAAGTTGTATATATATCAAATACGTTACACGTTTATGAATCTTCTGTACACTGCTTGTTTTTGCCAGTAAAGTTATTTGAGTTGAATGGTATTGATATGAGAGGCAAAGAGGAGTAACGAGCACAGAGTTGAGAAACAGAGGATGAGAGGGAAGGAGGGAAACTGAGGAATAGTAGATATTCCAGATGAGACATCATTGATGTCCATGAACAACCTGAAGCTTCAAGTGCCTTCACATCTTACCCTTCTCACGTTTTCTTGACCCCCCCCTGCACCGCCGGCTCTGTCTCGGGCAATAAAGAGGTCAAATGCTGCAGCAGGCATCTCTGACATGTTGATCAGCTCGGGACGGCTGACAGGAGCAGGTCCACGCGCTGACGTTTGATTTACAGGACCATGTAAGGATACAACTGACCAAAGTACCATACATTTTCACAAAATGACTTTCATTGAAACAGAACACTAACACAGTGACAACATGATTGGACAAAACACACTTGTAAACAGTTATG